TTGAGTAAATACTGCGTTATGAACTGCGTGTTCAGATTGAGCAAAAACTGCGTTATGAACTGCGTGCTCAGATTGAGCAAAACTGCATTATGAACTGCATGTTCAGATTGAGCAAAAACTGCGTTATGAACTACGTGTTTAGATTGAGCAAAAACTGCGTTATGAACTGCGTGTTCAGATTGAGCAAAATACTGCGTTATGAACTGTGTGTTCAGATCAAGCAAAATACTGCATTATGAACTGTGTGTTCAGAGTGAATAGAATACTGCGAAATGAGCTGTGTACCCAAATGTGCTGTGTGCCCGAAATGAGCTGTGTGCCCAAAATGAGCTGTGTGTTCAGAATGAGCTGTGTGCCTAAATGAGCTGTGTACCAAAATGAGCTGTGTGCCCAAAAAAGTTGTGTGCCCAAACGAACAAAGTGTTGTGTTATGAGCTGCGTGCTAAATGAGCATTATGTTATGTATGAGTTGTGTGCCAAGTCAACATTGCGCTATGCATAAACTGTGTGTTCAAAATGAGCAGAAATACTATGTATGTGAATGTGTTTAGAACGAGCAGATATAGTACATAGCGAAAGTATGAAATGTGCAAGAAATGCAAACTACTTCGCAGAGAACGTAAAAATGAAGTACGTACCTCTCGCGCATGATGAGATAGGTGGGACTCAGGCTCCCGTAGCAGTAAGTCTGTGGGCGCCCGTCGCGCGAAATCAGTAAAATGATGGAAGGTACTAAGAGGTAGGATGTGCTCCTGTGGGTGGTACCCCTCTAGGTCGAATGTCCGTATCCTCGGTGGCAACGGTATAATGTCGGGCTCATCCTCTACTCTCGGGGAGCCTCCGCCGTATGGAATATCGTCAGCCATCTGAAAAATGAGCAAAAATGAGCGGAATAAGCCAAAATTGCAAAAAGTCAACGAAAGTCAACTCTCGGGAAGAGAAAAAGTCAACAAAAGTCAACGCCTGAGAAAACGTGCTAAATTTCGAGAGAAACTTACCTCAAGTGGCGAAAATGGAGAAAGAAGCTCCGAAAACAAATTCTAATCGGTTCAAAACGAAGAGAATCGAAAGTTTTCGAGAAACAACTTCGTGTGGGGCATTGGAAAACGCGTATAAAGTGTAGATCTGAGAGGGAAAAGTGTCTAGGAGCAAAGGAAAATGTATTTTGGCCTTGGAGGTGTGATGAAAATTGTTTTGGAGTTGAGTTTTTAAAGATCTCCATGTGAAAAGACCAAGTTGCCCCGAAATTGTGTAAACTGGTCGGCCAGCCAGTTTTTCTGGTCGGCCGACCACTTTGGTGGTCAACAACTAGTTGGCCAGCATTCCAAGTGGTTGGCCACCCTCTTGGATGGTCTCCAAGGTCCCATTGTTCTCCCTATGTGTTTTGGTGATGATTGGAGTCTCGGCTCTCGAGAAAATACAAGAAAAGTACACTTTTCGGTTCAAGAATGTCCCCTCAGGAACTTTAATTCAAGTTTTCGATGCATGGCTCATCGTTACTCGTCAAGAGTGAGGTGTATCCTTTTTAAGTATGTTGTGACCCCTCCGAGAGGTAACTCGGAGGTTCCGGTTAAATTGCTCACGTTAGGGCTTGTATCTCATTTTTCAGCATTTTGCTTCTAATATGCTTTCGTTATGCACACCTTTCTCACACTTTAAGCGCATTGTCATGCACATTTTGTTCGCATTGTTATGCACATTTCTCTCGCATTGTTATGTACTCCACCCGCGTTGTCACACATTCTTAGGTTGCATTGTCATGCACCCCCCCACTGCATTGTTATGTGCACACTTAGATTGCATTGTTATGCACCCCTCTATCGCATTGTTATGCGCACACTTAGGTTGCATTGTCATGCACCCCTCCACCCGCGTTGTCACGCACACTTAGATTGCATTGTCATGCACCTTTTCACTTGCATTGCTGTGCACTTTTCACTTGCGTTGCTATGCATGTTTTCATTAGCATCATATGTGCATGCGTTTATCTTAGGATTGTATCTTGATGTAACGTTGGGCATGTGTTTCTAACTATATTGTACCTGTTAAGTTATATACCCATTTTATAATTTTTATATATGTTGTAGAAATTTTAAATACACTATAATAAAAATAACTCACCACCTCATATGAGTATATCAATTTTATCAAAAAAAGACAACCCATCAAATTTGTCAAAAGATGACAACCCACCAATATCACATTTGTCAAAATAATACAACTAATTAATATCAAATTTGTAAAAATAATACAACCAATCAATATCAAATTTGTCAAAAGATGAATAGTGATCAGCCGGATTATTCAAAACGTGAATAGTAAAATTTTACAAAATATTTTTGTAAAATCAGATATAGCACAGTAACTTCTATTTAAAAAATATTTAATACAAATATATCATGCATCATATATTTTAAACATATAATATTTTGTGTTAGATAATATAAAATATGTATATTAAAAAATCACAATTTTTCAAATAATATTTTAGACATTATCAAAATTAAACCATATGATTGACAGTAACAAATTCACTTTTGTAATGAAGAATACAATCAGTTTAATATTACTACATTGGATTGGTATAAAATTTTGTAAAAATTTAACAAATTCATCAAATTAGTCATGTTTCGTAATACAGAGTTGAACAAATATAATGTACTCAAAAATTTATATCTGAACAATAAATAAAAATTTAATTTATTTAACCGAACTAACTTAAAATGTTTAATTTTTTATGTATGAACATTTAATTTGTGGTCAATCTTATTAATTTGAACAAAATTATTTTGTTCAAATATAAATAATAGAATATTGTATAAAAATTCAACTCTAGTTATCTGAACATGACAAACAAACTTATTCTCCCAACATACGAACGACATAAATAAAAAAAATAAAAAAATAAAAAACCCATAAAGCAAAGTCATAAACTAATTGTTTCAATGTTCAAATTAACATTTTCAATGTTTATATCAGAACCAATCCTCTCAGTATCATCTATAGTGTGCAAATCTTAAAAATTAACTGATTTCAATATTTTTAAACCCTAAATCGTCAAAGCCAATAATGTTTTGAGTTTGAAAAATAAGTAAAATAGAAAATAGAATAAAGTGAGCTAACTGATAATGAATGATATCATGAGTGTATATTAATAGTGAATATGGTGAATAAATACAATGTATATATGTTAAAACGTTAAATGAATTTTTGTGAAAAGTATTTTGTGTTTTTAAATATGAATTTTTTTAAATGAATAGAATACAACCTATATTGTTCTTAATGATCATTTTGTTAAAGGATATTATTAAATATAAATTTAATGTATTAATGGTATATACTGATAGTATTTATTGTGTTTTGTTTGAGTTTTCTGGATTAAATTTTTTGAAAACTGAGTTTTTTGATTTTCGTGTTTTTTTGTTTTTAGTGAATATTTTTAAAATTTTAAATATTTTTTTTTAATTTTTTAGATGCACCTTACTTAGATGTGTCTAAAAAATAAAAAAATTGTGAAAAAAATATTTAAAAAAATTAAGAAATACATAAAAATACAAAAAATATACTAAATTCTTGTATTTTTTTTTGTATCTTTGGTATTTAGTGAATTTTTAAAAGATTATTTTTACATTTTTTTTACTTTTTAGGTGTATTTATGTTAGGTATATCTAAAAAGTAAAAAATTTGCATAAAATATTAAAAAAATTCAGTAAAAATAAAAAAATACGAAAAATAAGAATGTAGAATTTTCTGAAAATTATTTTTAAAAAATGAGAACCCAGCAAAGTGATTAGTATTGTGTAAATAAAATCAGCAGACAATTTTTTCATAAAAATAATAAATGAATAAGACAATTTTACCCCGAAGAATGTCTTCTGATCTTGACTTGAAAGATTCAACTTCAACAAATCTTCTATTAAGAAAAAAATAATAATAATAAAAAAGCAACAACTCCGCCACAAGTGCCTCTGTTTTCCATACGAACGCATCCAACATTAGAACTTCCGACTGCTTTTGTAGTCATCAAAAGTAACGGTCAATTCAACTGTCATTACCACATTAAAATAAAATTAAAAATGAAAAGATAAATTACAAATATATGATTTAAAATTTATTTAAAATATAAATTACTTTTTATAATTTAAAAAATTATAAATACTCTCTTATTAAAAAAATTTATATAACAAAGTTAATTGAAATAATAAAATTTCTAACTGCTAACTTATACAATGATAAAATTATTTGAATTATTAATTAAAATAAATTTTTGACGTCATTAAAATTTATTAATTAACTTGATGATTTATTAATAAAATAAAATATTTGTTATAAAATTAGAAATTTTTAAGAGTGAGATGTAATTTTCAAAACTATAAAAGATAAATTATATTTTAAGCAAATCTTAGGAGTGTAGCTATAATTTATCCAAAATACAAAAATTGGATCTTCTCCCATTCGGATTTGGATTGAAGGCCAATGAAACTCCCTATAGGTCTTTTTTTAATAATCTGAATGGTTAATTTTAAAGACTCTTTACGTATATTATTTATAAAAAAAACGACAATGATTCATCCCACTAAAAACACCACCACTAATAGCACTAATGCATTAAAAAAGTAAAAAAAAATAAAATAAAATACAACTCAAAGACCAAAACATCACATCATTAATGGCGGAAACCACTGCCACCTAATTAGTGGGAGCACTAAAGCATTTTTCTAAAAAAAATAATTTAAGTCAATATAATAATTTTAACATCTTTATTTTATCATATTTGTTTTTAAAAAAATGAATAATAAATGTGTTTTTAAAAATAAGTTATTTATTTTTTTAAAATATATATAATAAAATAAATATATTATAATTATCTGATCAATTTAATATTTTTATAATAATTTGTATGAAGAATTTTAAAAAATAAATCATCTCGTGAAATTCGTGGCCAGTAGGGTCTCCAGTCCCAAAGAAAAGTAAGCGAGAAAACAAAAAATTTCCCGGAAAATGCGGACACGTTCCCACAGGAAAGTGCCTTTGCTTGTTGATTGTTGATTGCTCTGTCTGTCCCTCCAAACAGAAATTTCATGGAAAAAATATATATATGTAAGACGAGAAATTTTTGTATGCCACCGTCTCTTCAAACTCCACCATTGCATGTTCTTTCCGAGAAAACCCAACAAGGAAAATCACCACACTGCATTTTCTTTCTGATTTTCTCGGCGCTCATTGACTTAACAAAGCTAGTCGTCTTCTTCTTCTTCTTATGTAAACAACTGGCAGTCCTTGTAATTTTTCAAGAAGCTGTTTGGAGGTAACTTTCACAACCCTTTCGTTTTTCTTTCTTGTTAATTGTTTGAAATGGATTGAGATAAAGTTCAATTTTGCTCTCTCTCTCTCTCTCTCTCTCTCTGTGTTTCGTTCCCTGGAAAATCAACACAACCCAATTTCTTTCCCCCTAGTTCTTGAGTGTGTAAGGCATACGGTGTACCACTTACTTACGTTGCATACTTTTTGTGAGAATTTACAACACATTTTATGGATTAACTTATGTGAATTTGTGTTATGTTACTTGATTTTGATTTTGTGCGGGGATTTACATATATTTGTGAGAACTTATGTCAAGTTGTCATTTTTTAAATTTTTATGAATTAACTCATGTAAATTTGTGTTATGCGATTTTGTGAGATAATTTATGTATGTTTGTAAGAACTTATGCCAAGTTATGATTTTTTAAATATTTATGATTTAACTAACATGAATTTATGTTTTAGTTACGTGATTTTCTAAGGTAATTTACGTATGTTTTGTGACAATTTACGCAAGTTGCACATGATATGCAACCCTTAAGTAAAGTTTGGTTCAATGAGATGATCATTCCATGAAAATGTTCATTCTCATGTTTGGTTGATTAAAAAACTATTGACAAAATAGAATCTTATTCACCATTTTAAGGAATGGTCATTCCATATAAAAATCTAAAAAATGATCATTTCATTTCAACTCATTCCAGTAAACCAAATAGAATATTAAGAAATTTCACACCCAAACACTTCCTTTTAGATATGGGTTCTTGTCAGTTTGTGTTATACCTGAGCTATTTCTTTTGTTCGTTCTCTTAAATGCTATTTTCTTCACTGGGTACTTTATTTAGTCTATTTATGCGTCTTGTTTGGATTGAAAATAAATTAGAACTAAGATGTTGTTTAATGTGTTTTATATTTGCAATTATTTAATTCAATTGTATCTTATTTGATTTTTCAGGCATGGGAGCTTTCCAATCGTTTGAACAGCTAAACACACATGTTCATGTGTTGCACAGGTAACTAGTCAAATTTTTAAATTTTCTTCACTGGGTACTTTATTTAGTCTATTTATGCGTCTTGTTTGGATTGAAAATAAATTAGAACTAAGATGTTGTTTAATGTGTTTTATATTTGCAATTATTTAATTCAATTGTATCTTATTTGATTTTTCAGGCATGGGAGCTTTCCAATTGTTTTAACAGCTAAACACACATGTTCATGTGTTGCACAGGTAACTAGTCAAATTTTTAATTATCATTTTTTTACCCGGACATGCCTTAAGACACATTTATGTGTTTTTTTTTTTTTTGTTATAGATAATTTTAGAAAGTTGATTTGTAATCAAAGTAAAATATATAGAAATGAAGAGGTAAAAAGTGAAAATAATAGAAATACACCCAAATATGTATAGGTGTCTCTTATAAATAAAAATATATAATTTTTTTTTGTCCATATACTAATTTTTTCAAAATTGTTGTATATTGTGTCCCTACTCACATCAGTGCTTCTTAGACGAGGGTATTCAGAGCTTTGCTCTGACTAGAACTCGATTCATACAGTCCCTTGTCCCACACAAACCAGTTAATTGTCACGCACAATCCTTGGGGATGGGGTATGCACTACACTTCCCAATGTGTTTATCACGGCTTACCTTGCCACTGCTAATCCTTTGTGTTCTAATTCTCAATCTTGTTTCCCTTTGTTAATTATGAATTATAGTCTACGCGCCCCTCCCTTTCTTCTCCATCCTTTTCTCTATTGTTAGCGAAAATATATGATTTCTTACGAGTAAATCAATCAATGGGAATAGAAATTAATATGAAAAAATTAAATCAAACGCAACACAAGAATTTGGCGCGGTTCTCTCAATATAAGGTACGTTCACGGGATCGAAATCCGATTCTACTATCAACCAAATAAGTTTCCAAACGATTACAAACGAGACACGAATAATCTTACAAAATCACCCTTAGGTGAATTCCAAATAATCACAAATAAATAAGAAAAAAGATCTCACCAAATAGATAAACCAAAATTTTCAAAACTAAAGATGTAGAAGACCCAAAATAACAAATCCAAACCAGCTTCATCAAAGCAGCCGAAACGAAGCAAACTGACCCAAACTTTTTTTGATTCCACCGAAGCGCTTTTTAATCTCAAGCAGCCGCACAATACTACTTTTTCTTGGGAAAAAAACTAATACCAAATATATATATATATATATATATATATGATTGATTCTTTTGTTTTGTTATCAAAACCCTAATGGTTACCAATCTGAATTAGGTTTTTAAAAATTAGATATAATATATTAAAATATATTATATCTAAACCAAACCAAATTAAAATTCTTTAAACAAACCAATTGGATCTCAAACTCCAATAAGGAGATATACCTCAACAATTCTCCCCCTATCAACTTAGGTGGAGATATCAACCATACCCGTCAAAATTCGACACATTAAATGTTTGTCCCTCGTTAAAGTCTTAGTCAACATATCCGAAATATTATCATTTGTGTGAACTTTTTTGAGTTGTAACAATTTCGAATCTAACACATCATGAATCCAACGGTATGTCATATCAATGTGTTTCAATCTCGGATGAAAAGTAGAATTTTTACTCAAATGAATAGCACTTTGACTATCACAATAAAGCATATACTTTTCTTGCTTCAAACCCGATTCTTGTAAAAATTTCTTCAACCATAACTCTTCTTTGCAAGCTTCCGTAATGGCAATAAATTCAGCTTCGGTAGTTGAGAGAGCAACACATTTTTGTAATTTAGATTGTCATGCCACAGCTCCCCCTGCAAAAGCCATCAAATACCCCGAAGTAGATTTCCTATAATCAACATTACCAGCCATGTCAGAATCTGTGAACCCATCAAGTATCGGCTTACCATCCCCAAAACACAAACACACCTTCAAAGTCCCTCGAAGATACCTTAGAATCCATTTTACCGCTGCCCAATGTTCTTTACCCGGATTAGAGAGAAGCTGACTCACCACACCAACGGCGTGAACAATATCTGGCCTTGTACAGACCATGGCGTACATTAAAAAACCAACTGCTGAAGCATAAGGAATTTTCAACATCTCTTCCTTGTTTTTCTCAGTTGTAGGACATTGATTCGAATTAAGCTTGAAGTGACCCACAAGTGGACAACCAATTGGCTTTACTTTATCCATGTTGAACCTCTCAAGAACTTTCTCAATGTAATTTTCTTGAGACAACCAAATCAGCCCCTCTTTACGATCACGAATAATTTTTATACCAAGTATTTGCTTTGTCGGTCCCAAATCTTTCATAGCAAAAGACTTGCTTAACTCCAATTTCAACCTGTTAATCATGGTAGAATCTTGACCCACAATTAACATGTCATCAATATAAAACAAAAGAATAATAATTTACCATCTGAAAAATTTTTCACAAACACACAATGGTCCGAAAATAAGAACTTTCTCAATGTAGCTTTTTTGAGACAACCAAATCAGCCCCTCTTTACGATCACGAATAATTTTTATACCAAGTATTTGCTTTGTCGGTCCCAAATCTTTCATAGCAAAAGACTTGCTTAACTCCAATTTCAACCTGTTAATCATAGTAGAATCTTGACCCACAATTAACATGTCATCAACATAAAACAAAAGAATAATAATTTACCATCTGAAAATTTTTTCACAAACACACAATGGTCCGAAAATGGTTTTAGAAAAACCATTATTCATCATGAAAGAGTCAAATTTTTTGTACCATTGTCTCGGGGCTTGCTTGAGGCCATATAAACTTTTCTTCAATTTGCAAACAAATTTCTCTCTCATTTTTTCCACAAAACCTTCTGGTTGCTCCATGTAAATTTCTTCTTCAAGGTCACCATGAAGAAATGCGGTCTTCACATCAAGTTGGTCACTTCAAGATTCATACTTGCAGTTATGCCAAGTACAACCCGAATAGAAGACATCTTCACAACAAGCGAGAAAATCTCATCAAAGTCAATACCTTTCTTTTGCCCAAAGCCTTTCACAACAAAACGTGTTTTGTATCTCAAATTCTTGCCATCATTCTTCAGTTTAAAAACCCACTTATTTTTTAGAATTTTCCTCCCCTTAGGCAACTTCACCAAATCATAAGTGTGATTTTCAAGTAAGGAATTCAATTCCTCTTCCATGGCCTTTTTCCAACCATCTTTCTTTGCATGCTCAATTGCTTCTTGGTAGTTCTCGGGTTCCCTTTGATCAGATATCAATACAAATTTATTGGGAGGATATTTTCTTGAAGGTTGTCGATCCCTTGTAGATTTCCTCAACTCAAGTTGTGGTGGCGGCTCTTGAATTGGATGCTCTTCCTCAATTTTTGGCTCAACTTCATTAGGATTGGCATCATCTTCTACATCTTCAATGGGTGGCTGAACATTTCCCCCATTGTCATCATCAACTGAAGATGAAGGAGATGGATCCATGTCAATGAGATCACTAGTTTTTGGCTTCGGCTGATCACCTTTGCCAAAGTCTTCAATTGTTTGGTCTTCAAAAAACACAACATCATGGCTTCGAATGACTTTCTTGTCGACCGGATCCCAAAATCTATACCCGAATTCATCACGCTCATAGCCAAAAAAAATACATTGTCTTGACTTACTATCAAGCTTGGACCTCGCATCTTTTGGAATGTGAACAAACGCTCGGCAGCCAAACACTCTCAAGTGCTTATAAGACACATCTTTGCCGGTCCAAACTCTTTCAGGAGCATCACCATTCAAAGGATAGGAAGGAGACAAATTGATCACGTCAACCGCTGTCTTCATTGGTTCACCTCAAAAGGATCTTGGCAATTTAGCTTGTGAAAGCAAACACCTTGTTCTTTCTACAATGGTGCGGTTCATCCTCTCGACAACGCCATTTTATTGAGGAGTCTTCTTAACTGTCTTTTGGTGCCTAATACCTTGGCTGCGACAATACTCGTCAAATGGCCCAATGTATTCACCACTATTGTCTGATCGGATACACTTCAATTTCTGCCTTGTTTTTCTTTCAACCATGGCCTAAAAATGCTTAAATACTTCTAAAACTTGATCTTTAATTTTTAGTAGAAAAGTCCAAACTTTCCTGGAATAATTATCAATAAAAGTGACAAAATAAGGTGCACCACTATGTGTTCTAACTTTTAAAGGACCACAAACATCCGAATGAATCAACTCCAAAACATTTTCTTTTCTAGAAGCAACATTTTTATGAAAAGAAATCCTATGTTGTTTACCCGCCAAACAATTAACACAAGTTTTGAGATGTGTACCTTTCAAACTGGGTAGAAGCTCTTTCTTGTACAAAACTTGTAGCCCCTTTTCACTCATATGGCCAAGCCGCTTGTGCCACAATTCGGTAGAAGTATCATTTTCAAGTGCATTGACAACACCTTTACAAATTTTTTCTTACATCGAATAAAGTGTATGAGTCTTCTTGTACTTAGTCACCACCAAAGAACCCTTTGTGAGCTTCCATATTCCATCACCAAATTTGTTGTTGAAGCCTTCATCATCTAGCTTCCCAGTAGAGATCAAATTGAGGCAAATGTCGGGAACATGACTCACATCTTTAAGCAACAACTTGCAGCCCAAATTTGTTTCCAAGCAAACATCACTTATGCCAATAATCTTGGACAAACCTTCATTACGCATTCGAACGGAACCATAATCTCCTTTGGTATAGGTAGTGAAGAAATCAACTCGAGAAGTCACATGAAAAGAAGCACCGGAATCAATCACCCAATTGCTCTCTTAACCCACAAAATTGATACAATCATCTTCACAAATGACCATGAGATCATCGGTAGTAACTGCCATTGTGTCTTCTTGTTTCTTATCCACACTTTTTTCACACATTTTCTCCTTGTTCTTGAGCTTTCGGCATTCTGGCTTCATGTGCCCTTTCTCATGACAATAATAGCACTCAATGTCTTTCTTTTTATTCTTGAGCTTTCGGCATTCCCGCTTCATATGTTCTTTCTCATGGCAATAATAGCACTCAATGTCTTTCTTTAAAAAGAACCATCTTTTGATTTGTCACGGCTTTGATCACAACCATGAGGAGTCTTACTCATCCCCCTTGTTTTACTTCGGCCTCTCACAACAAATGCTTCCGAATGAGAGAAACCCGCTGATTTTCTTCTAGTTTCTTCATTCAACAAGCTACTAGTGACTTTGCCTATTGTGACAAATCTATCAGGTGCCAAATTACTAACTGTCACAACCAAAGTCTTCTAACTTTCGGCCAAAGAACTAAGTAGCATCAAAGCCTGCAACTTATCATCAAAAACAATTTTCATAGAAGCAAGTTGGTTAACAATACTCTTTATTTCATTCAGATATTCCGGAATAGGGCTGCCCTCTTTATATTTTAAATTAACCAACTTACGAAATAAAAAAGTTTTATTTGTGGTTGATTTCCTATCATAAAGACCTTCTAATTTTTTCCATAAATCATGTGCTGAAGTTCCAGTAGCAACATGATGAAACACACTGTCATCAATCCATTGACGGATAACACCAACGGCTTTTCGATTAAGTCTATTTCATTCATCATCTTTCATATCATCAGGTTTGTCACTATCACTCTCAATAGACCCATATAAATCTTTGCAAAATAATAGGTCCTCCATTTTAGTTTTTCAAGTTACCCAATTACTTCCATTGAAGCTAGACATACGACCCACATTCCCCTCCATTGATTTACACAAATAATTAAACCCAAATAAACCGTAAGTTCTGATACCAGTTGTTAAGGAAAAAATATGATTTCCCACAAGTAAATCAGTCAATAGGAATAAAAACTAATGCGAAAAAATTAAATCAAAAGCAACACAAGAATTTTACGTGGTTTCTTCAATGTAAGGTACGTCCACGGGATCGAAATCCGATTCCACTATCAACCAAATAAGTTTCCAAACGATTACAAACGAGACACGAATAGTCTCACAAAATCACCCTTAAGTGAATTTTAAATAATCACAAATAAACAAAAAGAAAGACCTCACCAAATAGATGAACCAAAATCTTCAAAACCAAAATTATAGAAGACCTAAAATAACAAACCAAATTAACTTCATCAAAGCAGCCGAAACGAAGCAAACTGACCCAAACTGTTTTTTAATTCTACCGAATTGCTTTTTAATCTCAAGCAGCCGCACAATATACTTTTTCTTGGGAAAAAAACCAATACCAAATATATATATATATAGTTAATTGATTCTTGAGTTTTGTTATCAAACCCTAATGGTATCGAACTGGATTAAGTTTTTAAAAATTAGATATAATATATTAAAATATATTATACTTAAATCAAACTAAATTAAAATTATTTTAACAAACTAATGGGGTGTCAAACTCCAATTGCTTTGCGCACAAACTTATGCAAAGAACATGAGATCTAAAGGTCCTTGATTGGTATCCCAGTTTACATTTTTCTTTTTCTCTGATCTCTTAGTCAGTCTAAGCTTCTGCATTTAGAGTACTGTTCATCGTTGAAGAGTTCTACTGTGGGTAAGGTTTATTCTAAAATGTTGTGCATCAATTAGGCGGTAAGATTGGCTAATAATTTGATAAATGCTCAGGAAAACGAGGAAAATAGTGGAATTATGTTGAAGAATGAAGAACATGAAACACTTTCTTTGGTTTAAGTAGAGGATTTGACATAGAAACAACTATGGTTTTGGAGCTCATACCAATAGGAACCCTCATAACTGTGCTCACAAGCCAGGTCATCAAAACTGCTCAAGCTGCAAAGGATGTTGTTTTCGAGAAGGAGAGTTTCAAGGTTCTCTCAAAGCACCTTTTTGACATTGAGCGAGTCTTAACAGAATTGCAGCTCCAAAAACTAAACGATTCAGAAGCTGCAAGGCAAGCTTTGGAATTCCTTGAAGCTGATATTAAGAAGGCTAATAACTTGGTCGATAAGTACAAACACCGAGCACGTTTCTACTTGCTAGTCAAGTGCAGCCACATTGTCAAGGAGGTACAAGATGTCACAAGAGATATAGGGAAGTCTTTGGCCGCTTTATCACTAGCAAACACCGAAGTTCTTTCAGGGATATCCGAGCAAGTGAATAGGTTACAGAACGAGATGCAAAGAGCGGAATTTGAAGCTTCTCAATCTCAGCTCCAAATTGTTGACAAGTTGAATCAAGGCCTTACAGAGCAGAAACTTGACCAGGGTTTTGCAAACGACATTCTTAAAGAAATAGCAAAGGTGGTTGGGGTCCCAGTGGAGCCCTCGGAGATAAGCAAAGAACTAGAAAGCTTCAGAAGAGAGAAGGAAGAAGCGTCCAATAGGAAAGAAAGGGCTGAAGTTTTCTTCTTGGAGCAGATCATTGAGCTGCTATCCCGAGCTGATGCTGCAAGAGATTATGAACAAATCAAGAGGCAGTACTTCCAACGGCTTCAAGTCATAGACAAATATGATCCAAGAGAAGAATATATTCAGCCATTTAATGCTTTCATTTGTTGTATAACTAGAACGGTGATGGTTGATCCTGTCAGCCTATGTACTGGTACTTCGTGTGAGAGGACGGCCCTTGAAGCTTGGTTTGCGTGTGGAGAGAAAACTGATCCAGAAACGGGAGATCCACTTGAGGATTTTTCTTATAGGTCTAATCTCCGGCTGAGGCAATCGATTCAAGAGTGGAATGAACTTAATTACTGTGTCAAAATCAGATCGTGCAAGTTGAAACTATTGTTGGACATGGACTCATCAGTGGAAGAGGCTCTAGATCAAATACAAAAGCTTATGAGCGAGAATTCGATTAACAAGGACTGGATTTCCATTGGTGGTCTCACTGACATTATTGTTTCAACCCTTGGAAGCTCAGACAACAGAGATGTGAAAGAAAAGATATTAATTACCTTAAAGGATGTCGTCGAAGGGAATCCAAGAAATAAGGTTAGCAGTTCCTTCAACCAAAAAGATTAACAGACATCCTTAATGACAGTTCTTGTATGTTAATGGTGTTTTTTTTTATTCGTTTTGGATGTTTTATCAAGAGAAAAGTTAGAGATCATAAAAAAACTTTCATGAAAATGATCATGAAAGATTTATGGCCCTTAGATTACCTTGATTAGTGTGTGGTGCATTATTTTAAGTGTAATCCAAGAGTCATAAATCTTTCATGATCATTTTCATGAAAGTTTTTTCATGATACCTAGCATTACTCTTTTATCAAACCTTGCTGTCATCTTCTTCTTTTAAACCTTTGGATGCATCCACATGCAGACACATGCACACACGTAAGACGCACATACTTCTAAGATGGTGGAGTGTTCAGAACTCGAGAAAGTCACATGAAAGAAGAAGCACCCGGAATCAATCACGCGAATTGCTCTCCTTAACCCAGCAAATTGATTAAATCATCTTCAACCAAATGACCAATGAATCATCGTTAGTAACTGCCATTGTGTCTTCTTGTCTTCTATCACACTCTTTGTTGTCCACCGTCTTTTTCCCGCTTATTCCTTAAACTTTCGCATTCCCGCCCTTTCATATGGGTTTCTTTTCTCTTTTCAATCGGCAACTAATCAGCACTCAAATGTCTTTCTTTTAAAACGAACCATCTTTTGATTTTGTCAACGGCTTCTGATCACCAAAACATGAGGAGTCTCTTACTCATCCCCCTTGGTTTTACTTCGGGCCTCGTCACAACAAATCGCTTCTCCGAATGGAGAAGAAACCGCGCTGGTCTGATTTCTCCTTCTAGTTTTTCTTCATCACAAGCTACTCAGTAGACTTTTGCCTATTGTGACAAACTCTTACAGGTGCCAAATTCAACTAACGATCGTCACAAGCGCCAAAGTCTCTCGTAACTTTCCGGCCAAAGAATAAGTTAGCATCAAAGCCTGGCAACTCTATTCATCAAAAACAATTTCTCATAGACGGCAAGTTGGTTAACAATACTCTTTATTTCATTCGAAGATATCGGAATACGGGCTGCCCTCTTTATTATTTTAAATTAAGCCCAACTTAACGAATAAAAAGTTGTTATTTGGTGGTTGATTTCCTATCATAAGACGCTTCTAATTCTTTTACGCATAAATTCATCGTGCTGCGTTCAGTAGCCAACATGAATGAAACACGCACCTGTCTCAAATCCATTGACGGATACACGAACGGCTTTTCGATTAAGTCTACCTTTCATTCATCCCATCGTTTCATATCATCAGGCTTTGTGCACTAATCACCTCTCAATAGAGCCCCTATTAAATCTTTGCAAATATAGGTCCTCATGTGTTGTTTTCAAAGTTACCCACATTACTCTCCATTGAAGCTAGACATCATACGACCCACCATTCCCACGCTCCATTCGATTTACACAATAATTAACCACCACAATAAACCGTAAGTTTCTCTGAATACGCAGTTGTTAAGGAAAAAATATGCATTCTCCACAAGTAAACTCAGTCATAGGGAATAGAAAAACTTAATGCGAAAAAATTAAAATCAACAAGCAACACAAGAAATTTTACGTGGGTTTCCTTCAACATGTAAGGTTACACGCTCCACGGGATCGAACTCCGATTCCACATCAACCGCAAATAAGCTTCCAGAAGCGATTCAAACGAGACACGCGAATGTCTCACAAATCAACCCTTAAGAGTATTTTTAAACATAATCCACAAATAAACAAAAAGAAAGACCTCACCAAATAGATGAAACGCAAATCTTCAAAACCAAAATTAATAGAAGACCTTCAAAAATAACAAACGAAATTAATTCATCAAGCAGCCGAACACGAAGCAACACCTCACCAGACTGTTTTTTAATTCCTACGGAAATTTTGGGCCTTTTTTAATCTCAAGCAGCCGACACATATACTTTCTTCCTTGGGAAACAAAAAGACCAATAACCGAAATATATATACTATACCTACGTTAAGTTGATTCTTGAGCTTTTTGTTATCACCACTGCTAATCTGGTATCGAACTGGACCTTGAAGTTTTCTTAAAAAATTAGATATAATGTATTAAAATATATTTATACACTTTAAATTCACCAATAAATTAAAATTATTTTAACAAATAATGGGTGTCAAACTCCGCATTGCTCTTGCGCAGCAAACTTATGCAAAGAACATGCAGATCGTAAACGGTCCTTGATTTGGTATTCCAGCTTTACCATTTTTCTTTTTCTCTGATCTCTTAGTGCAGTCTCTAGGCTTGCTGCATTTAGAGTACTGTTCATCCGTCTGGAAGAGTTCTACTGTGGTAAACGGTTTATTCTTAAAAATGTTGATGCATCAATAGGCGGTAAGAATTGGGCTATAATTTGATAATGCTCGGACAACCGGGAAATAGTCGGAATTATGTGAAGACCTGAAGAACACATGAAAAACACTTTGTTACTCTTTATGGACGCTTTACTGGTTTGATGAAACTTGGCGAGCTCATACCAATAGGAACCCTCATAACTGTTGCTCCACAGCCACGGTCATCAACAACTGTTCTCAGCTGCAAGGTGTTGTTTATCGAGAAGGAGAGATTTCAAACGGTTTCTTCAAAGCACCTTTTTGCACTTGAGCGGTCCTTAAACAGAATTTCGCTCAGCTCCAAAAACTAAACAGATTTCAGCAGCCTGCCAAGGCAAGCTATTGCGGAATTCCTTGAAGCTCGTATTAACCAGGCTAATAACGTTGGTCGTACTAAGCTACAAAACCAGAGCAGTTTCTACTTGCTAGTCAGTGCAGCCAATTACAAGGAGGCTACACGATGTACAAGAGATATAGGGAAGTTTTGGCCGCCTTTAATCACTAGCAACACCGAAGTTCTCTTCAGGGATATCGCGAGCAAGGAACTAGGTCTTATCAGAACGAGAATTGCCAAAAGAGCGGAATTATGAGAAGCTTCCTGCAATCTCAGCTGCCAAATTGTTCGACAAGTTCGAATCAAGGGCCTTGACAGAGAGAAACTTGACCCAGGGTCTTTGCAAACGCACTTCTAAGAACATAGCAAACGTTTGGGGTCCCAGTGGACCCTCCTGGAGCATAAAGCAAGAACTACGAAAGCTTCAGAAGAGCAGAAGGAAAGAAGCGGTCCAATAGAAGGAAAGGGCTGAAGTTTTCTTCCTTGGCAGCAGATCTTTGAGCTGCTATTCCCGGAGCTGATGCACTGCAACGAGATTATGAGACAAATCAAGAGGCCAGTATGTCCCAAACGGCTTTCAAGTCATTCAGGACAAGATATGATCCAAGAGACAGAGAATATATTCAGCCATTTAAATGCTTTCATTTGTGTGCTATAACATAGAACGGGTGTGATGGTTAGACTCCTGTCAGCCTGATGTAACTCGGTACCTTCATGTGAGAGGACGGCGTCCTTGAAGCTTTGAGTTGCGTGGTGGAGAGAAAACTGATCCAGAAAACGGAGGAGTGATCCACATTGAGGTTTATTCTTATAGGTCTAATCTCGGCCGCTGAAGGCAATGCCGATTCAAGAGTAGGAATGAACTTAATTACTGCTGTCAAAAATCAGATCGTGCAACGTTGAAACTATTGTTGGACATTGGACTCCATCAGTGGAAGAGCTCTAGATCAAAATACAAAAGGCTATGATGAGCGAAATCTCGTTAACAAAGGACTGGATTTCCCCATGGTGGTCCTCACTGACATATCTGTCATTCAACCCTTGAGAAGTGCTCAGACAACAGAGATGTGAAAGAAAAGATATTAATTACCTAAAGGATGGTCGTCGAAGGGGAATCCAAGAAATAACGGCGTAGCCGTTCCTTTCAACGCACAAAGATTAACAGACATCTTCAAATGAGCAGTTCTTGTATGTTAATGGTGTATTTTTATTAAATTCGTTTCTGGATGTTTTATCAAAACCTTTGCTGTCAATGTGCCTTGCGTTAAACCTTTGGCATGGCATCCACCATTGCACACACGTAAAGACGCCACATACTTCTAAGGGATGGAGTGTCCGATGAATTCTGGACACTATCACACGACGCTGGGCCAGACACTTCCGAACATGTGTGAGACATAACGTCCAAACATGTTCTACTAATTACTATACTTTGACACGTTTTAAACGCTTGGAGAACACATGTTTCTATCTCTTAGATACACATTACAAGTTTGAATAAAATTACTTAGAATCCAACAATAAAAGAATAAAAAAAATAAATAAAAAATCATACCAATTCTCCTTTTTAGACTTTAAAAAAAGAAATTATTATCTTTGAATTTTAATATTCATATATATGACATATAAAATTGTTTATCCTTAGACATACAATACAAAACTATATATTCTACACGTGTCCCTCATGTGTCATATTCTATATTTTTTGAAAAACTTTACATCAACATGTCTGTGTCGTGTTATGTGTCTGTGTCTATGCATCTCAGGCACACATACACATATTTTCAAATTTGTTTCACGGGAAGGAAAAAAATTTCGTAAAACAAATTTGCTTCACAATATTCTAAACCCTACATTTGAAATCAAATTTTGTAGGATGAAGTGGTGGATTCCCGGGGGTTTGATCACATCATTCCTTGCTTAGGGGTTGACTCAAGCCTATCAAAGGCTGCGGTTGAGCTGCTATATGAATTATTGCAAGACAGATCTGGTTGGGATTCATCTGTTTGCAGGAAACTTTCTCAGCAGCATCATGCAATCCATTTTCTTGTTACCTTCCTTAAGAGTCCAGTCGAGGAGTCAAAAGAAAAGGCTGAGGAAATCTTGATGAAGCTTTGTGATGAAGATGAGGAGAACATTGTTCGTGCCGCTGAGGCAGATTGGTACAAACCACTTATTGGTTGTATAATTCAAGGTTAGAGAATTTATCCCTCTTTGAGTTTCTGAGATAATCATTTGTATGTATGTAAAGTTTATTAATCACATTCAATATTAGAAATCCTTTACCTTGAAATCTTGTGAGAAGACTACTCATCTATATAACTTTGTAATTGTTTTGATGGTGCTTGTTACACACAAAGATTCTGAAAGCTTTGTCCAAATCTTGGCACCCACAGTCCTTTTTGACTAATTTTTCCATTTTCTCGGTTCACTATCCGTGTAAACATTAGCTTTGTTCCATTTCATGGATCCTCCAGTCATGCTCATAGCTTAGCCCTAAGATTTGTTGGCTAATTTTCCTTTTTCTCTTGTTTATGTGATATGAGATTCTTCAAACTTATCACCATCAAATGAAAAAGTTGTTGCACATAGTTTAACTTTATTTTAAAATTGAAATTTGTATTACATCATTCTTTTTCTCTTCAGGTTCAGAGCCATCGAGGATATCAATGGTGAGAGCACTTGTTAGCATGGAACTAGTTGAACAAAATATAAAGTTGCTTGGTGAGGCAGGAGTGATACCTCCTTTGCTTGAAATGGCATCTGGAAATGTCGAATCAAAAGAGTTGTCTTTATCAGCATTAGTAAAGCTTTCAGTTTGTCACGAAAACAAAATGCGTATTGCTGATGCTGGTGGGGTTCCTTTGCTTCTGAAATTAATGTTTTCTTTACATTTACGCACAATTATTATTGCGAAATGTTCTGAAGTCCTGGCGAAACTTGCTTCCAATGGTGATGGAACTAAATTCTTTGTTGATGGAACCGGGAACAAACTTGAATTAGAGCCAATTATCACTAACTTGTTAGCTTTTCAGCAAAATCCCAACTCATCATACACTGTCAAGAGGCCTACCTTGCGTACTCTTCTTGAAATTTGTCGATCTGAATCCAGACTTGTCAAGACAGCAGTTCTCACTTCAAATGGTGTTTTGCTCATTCTTCCTCTTCTTGATGACTCTGATCTTGAAATCCGTGAAGTTGCGTTAAATCTTCTCTTCCTCTTCTCACAGCAAGAATCACAAGGAGTTGTTGAATACCTTCTCAAGCCAAGAAGGCTAGAGGCCTTAGTGGGTTTTCTTGAAAACAACAATAACAGCGATGTACAAATGGCTGCAGCTGGTTTATTAGCCAATCTTCCGAAATCAGAAGAATGGCTCACGAAGAAACTAATAGAATTGGACGGTCTGAATGCAATCATAAACATCTTAAGATCTGGGACCATGGAAGCGAAAGAAAACGCTTTGAGTGCTCTCTTCAGGTTCACAGATCCAGCAAATCTAGAGTCACAACGGGCTGTGGTGGAACTAGGCACATACCCTTTGCTAGTGAAATTTCTCGAGTCTGGTTCAGTGACCGCCAAGGCAAGAGCCGCTGCTCTCATTGGCAATCTTTCCGCGAGTAGTCTGAAACTTACTGTTCTGACAAAAGAAGTCGGCTGCTGGTATTTTCGTAAGACACGTGACCCTTTATGTGGAGCCCACGGGAGCACTTGCAGTGTCACATCCACATTTTGCATGTTACAAGCAAATGCATTGACTAAGCTAGTGAATCTATTACAAGAAAAAGTTCATGAAACGACATATGAAGTAATTCAAGCACTTTCAACTCTGGTTCGGGAAGACTCTCCTTACCGAGGGGCCAATGTACTACATCAAGCCGATGCTATTCAACCGATAGTAGAGGTTTTGGGATGGGGAACAGAGTCTTTAAAGGAAGAGGCTTTGAGGGTCTTGGAGAAGATTTTCATTTCAAGGGAAATGGTGGAGATTTATGGAGCTGCTGTGAAGTTTACTCTTTTTCCTGTGACTGGTTGTCGTGTGAATGAGGGCCATGATCTTCAAAGAAAGGCAGCTAAAGTCTTGTCGCTCCTTGAACATTATTCAAGATCTTCAAGATCTCTAGTTCCGGGATTAAGTAGATGAAAATCTTTGTGGTCACAATGGCACAGAGTAGATTCCACTTTGCTGTCAAGTAGTCGACTCTCCAATTGATCGGGTATATTCACTAGAAAATTATTTTTACTTTTTTTCTTTTTTCCCACTCTTTTATTCATTGAAATATGAGACTACACATTAATTGACTAGATGATATTACAAGAGATTTTCGGTATACTTGATCTGTAAATTGTTTTGAATGGCCTATTTTGGTGCAATATAACAATTGTGTTTTTCTATGAACTTGTCACTCCCATCTCACCAGTTTGTTTTATGATGGGAAAAGTGTATTTATTTGATTGTTTATTTTTTAAATTACTGCTTGGACCTATTCAATGAACTATTATTTTCAAATGTGTGCTTTACACTGCAATAAAATTCCAAAACCCCATTCTGAATTTCGGGCGAAATCAATCTTCTTGAGCATGTTTTCTTGCATGTTTTTGTTGTTAGGGCAGATTTTCCCTTTTTTCTAACTTGATTGTGACCTATTTTGGCAATTTTCCATTTTGTTAAGGATTTTATTAAGTTTTCATTTTCATTAACTTTTGGTTTTAGAATTGGTAATGAACAGTTTATGGAGTTGTTATTCATATACTCTTTCTTTCACTGTGGTATTCTTTGTGGATTAAACACTGTAGAAAACTTTTACTTTGTGAATCAATGAGTTCAAAGAATGATTTTGTCTTCGACATTCAACTTCGTATCAACAAACTCAAAAACATTACCCTATTTTTCATTATCATACGTTTCTGCTACGTCAACATGTAAAGGTACATTATGCACAAGTTTAAATCAATGTCTAATGCAAAATGGAAGAAAACAACATGGCAGTAAAATTTCCCATTAATTGATCGCTACATCAGGCTTTTAAGTATCGACTGTTACGTAATAAGATTTTAAACTTCTAATACCGTTATTGACTAATACATCATTCGATATTGTCCGATATTAACCAATATAAGAACGTATCATTGATACCATTACATATCCCGATATAATTTTTTAAAAGCCATAGCATCCATCGTGTATTCTTTAGCCTAATTCCCCATAATTTTGTAGAAATATGTTCATGTAAGGCATAAACTAAAAAGTTTTCATAGCTGAAGAAATTGCTCATTTTGCTGGATAAAATTAGCCTGGCCCGATGGGCTTATCAAAGCCCGTCCCAAAACTCAGCCCATAGATCCATCTAAAGGATTCGTGTGAATGTCAATCTGTTGGATTATAGACTAAGACAAATTAAGGTTGAATTCAAAACAACTGAGCTGGTGGAATGCGGTTAAAGAACTCAACTAATATAAATTAAATTTTCTAATCCAGTTCAACTATTTTTGATCTTTTAATGTTATGAAAAATAGGTTTGTGAATATTAAAAATGAATTGATCAAATAACTAAAATGCTAGGACATTAAGTACATTATATTTATAATATTTATTTTTATTAACCTTTCGGTTTTTTACAATAAATTGGTAGCTAAACTTTTTTTTTAATGTCGATGATAACATGTGAAACATTTTTCATTAATTTAAAAAAAAAATGTTCTTTTTCTCCTAACAAAAATTTAGAATTAAAACATTCATTGAATCAATTACAACACAATTTTTATCTATTTTCAACAAATCATAAACTGAATTTAAAAAAAAATACAATAAATTTTTTAATTTTAATTTTTCAGTTAAAAATAGATGAGTGGAGAAAGAAATACTTTATTGAAAAATTATTACATGAACAATATTAAACATTGAAATACTTTCATCTTAATTTTAGTCATTAATTTAACCTAACATGCTCATACTGAAAGTTAAAACAACAATAATTAAAATAAAACTTAAATGAATGCATTGAATTTTCTTTCATTCAGTGTTTGAAATACTCTCATAAAACCAGGAAAAAAAATTAAAAAATATATGAATGAATGATTCCCCAATAATGATTTTACATGTATTTACAATGAAAGGAAATATTTTTAAAATTTAATATAATAAGCAAAAAAATTATATTCCTAACGGTTTAGTACAATTTCATCTATAAGTGCCAAATGACCTCATTAGAATATATAGAACACACCTAACTACCAACTAAACCAGGTTCCTTAGTTGTTGTGATTTGACCCTCCCATTAAATTATGTAATTTTTTCATTGTGGGTCTTTTTTGGATGTTCGTTTGTTTAAAATTTGGATATGGATGGGCTTAAAGGGTACACTGTTTATCTTATAGGGTCGGTTTGTTTTGAGTTATGGGAGATAAGATTGAATTATAATAGATGTGTAATTTATTAATATTGTGTTTATTTATAAAATGGATAACGAAATTCACAATACATTGAGATTATGATAAGAAAAATGGTTGAGAGCACTAAAAGCGGTGCTCTAATAGCATCACTAATGATGTGACAGTGTCTTTTTTTTTTTTTTTTTGAGCATTCCCAATACATTAGTACTATTAGTGGTCTTTTTTTTAGTGATATGAATCATTGTTGTTATGATAAACCTCCATGGATGGGATTAATAGTAGCCTATGAGAGATGGTATCAGAAAAATAATCTTTTGAGATTAGAGAGGAATTTATTATTTTGCCCTCTATTATCCTACCTAATTTGTATACTCTGCTTGATTAGTATGGCCTTTTCTCTATCTTTTTTTTAATTATTCCATCATTTTTTACTCTATCATTCTTTATATCAAAATAATTTAATATAAAAATATAATAGTATAATAATATTTATACCAAAAAAAATTATATTAAAAAAATAAAATAATACCAAAAATATAATAGTATAATAATATTTAGAGTGATGCACCAATAAATCCCAAATTAATAACTTATACACTATTTAGTCCTAAAAGTTTTCTTATAGACTGAAAAGTCCCATTATAGGGAAATTGACTACATCAAACATCATCATCGTCAAAACAACATCATCATCATCAAAATAACATCAAACATCACAACATCATTATCAAAACAACATCAAGCATCATCATCAAAACAACATCAAACATCACAAACATCATCATTAAAACAACATCAAACATCACAGCATCATCAACAAACATCATCATCAAACATCATCACATCATCATCAACACAACATCACAACATCAAACTAAAAAAATATATATCAAACATCAACATATACATTATACATCACTAAACAAACAACCATTTCTAAAGGATAATGGGTCGCCATTGATGGTCAATGTCTGGGCATTCCAGACCTTCAAAGCAAAAAAGCAATCTAAAAAAGAAAAAAAAAATTTGGGTAATTTTCAAACATCAAACATCATCAAAACAACATCAAAACAGATCAACATTAACAAAACATCATCAACACAGTGATGTTCTTCCCTCAAATCGGATCGAATATCGGATCTGTGATGTTCTTCAACACATTGATGTTCTTGAATGTCGGATCTGTGATGTTCTTCAACACAGTAATGTTCTTGAATGTTCTTGAATATCGGATGTGTGATATTCGATCAAAATCATCAACACAGTGATGTTTTTCCCTCAAATCCCTCAAATCGAAGAAGAACATCAGACCAACTGAATGTGGCGTCGATGACGTTGAAACCACCGCCGAATCCCATAGAGATTGCGCCGGCGGTGAGGATGATGGAGGAGGAAGCGTTCGCACCGGAGAGACCGGCGGCGAGAGCGAAGGGGACGGTGAGGCCGTCAAAGACACCGATGATGATGTCGCGGATGATCTCGCCCGCCGTGAAGTGCTTCTCGACGTGTTGCGTCAGAAGCAACTTCTCTGATTCTGCGGTCCGATGATTTTCCGCCACTGAATCGATTGCACCAATTGAAGATGAACAAACACAAATTTCCAAAGCCTTTTTTATTTATTTATTATTATTATTATTATTTTATTTTTTTTCATGTGAGAGTCTGGAATAGTTTTTGGTTTTTGGAATGAGGAAGATGAGGGAGGAGTCTGAAGCAAGGGGAATCTTGCCGATGATGTGAGAAGTGGGAGATCGAACGCTGTGGAAGTTAGGGTTCTTCTTTGGTAATCCCGGATGTTGTTTGATGATGATGTTGTGATGTTTGATGTTGTTTTGATGATGATGTTTGATATTGTTTACCAAAATTAAATGGGACTAAATGGTACATAAAAAATTTTTAGGACTAAATGGTTCAACTTTTCAGAAAATAGGATTTATGGGTAAATTTTCCAAAAACAAAATGTAACAGGTCGGCATCAAATTTCGTGCGGGCATCATCAACACAGTGATGTTCTTCCCTCAAATCGGATCGAATATCAGATCTGTGATGTTCTTCAACACATTGATGTTCTTGAATGTCGGATCTGTGATGTTCTTCAACACAGTGATGTTCTTGAATGTTCTTGAATATCGGATGTGTGATATTCGATCAAAATCATCAACACAGTGATGTTTTTCCCTCAAATCCCTCAAATCGAAGAAGAACATCAGACCAACTGAATGTGGCGTCGATGACGTTGAAACCACCACCGAATCCCATAGAGATTGCGCCGGCGGTGAGGATGATGGAGGAGGAAGCATTCGCATCGGAGAGACCGGCGGCAAGAGCGAAGGGGACGGTGAGGCCGTCAGTGACACCGATGATGATGTCGTGGATGATCTCGCCCGCCGTGAAGTGCTTCTCGGCATGTTGCGTCAGAAGCAACTTCTCTGATTCTGCGGTCCGATGATTTTCCGCCACTGAATCGATTATACCAATTGAAGATGAACAAACACAAATTTCCAAAGCCTTTTTTATTTATTTATTATTATTATTATTATTATTTTATATTTTTTCATGTGAGAGTCTGGAATAGTTTTTGGTTTTTGGAATGAGGAAGATGAGGGAGGAGTCTGAAGCAAGGGGAATCTTGCCGATGATGTGAGAAGTGGGAGATCGGACGCCATGGAAGTTAGGGTTCTTCTTTGGTAGTCCCGAATGTTGTTTGATGATGATGTTGTGATGTTTGATGTTGTTTTGATGATGATGTTTGATGTTGTTTACCAAAATTAAATGGGACTAAATGGTGCATAAGAAAATTTTTAGGACTAAATGGTTCAACTTTTCAGAAAATAGGATTTATGGGTAAATTTTCCTAATATTTATACCAAAAAAAATTATATTAAAAAATAAAATAATACCAAATATATATATATATTTATGAAATATAATTTTAATATTTATAAAATATTTTTTTAATATTAAAATATGTAATGGATTTATTAGTTGGTATAAGCCCAAATTTGATAGTAATACAATAAGGGTAGTTGTGAAATTTTATATGATTAATCACACTCCTATCTCTCAAATCAAACTGAAACTATTGCTATTTCACTGATTATCAAATAAATACAATTTTTCTTAGTCCCCTTACTAATAATCCTACTCAACTTACATTTGAAAACAAACTGGCTCATAGGGTTTATTAAGTAAATTATTTTTTATGGTAATGTACTAAAAAAATTAAGTAAATTATTCATACAAAAAATAAGATGATCAAATATTGACAACTATATAATCATATTATCTTTGTTATTAAAAAATGAATGACAATTATAATTTTGAAATGGGAAACTCTATGGTACACACGATTGAGGAGGTGTTATTAAATGCACCTATTATGTATTTTTGTGGTAAATATTTTATATTTTTTTGAGTAGAATTACAACAATTTGTGATTCATAAATAAAGTTATGCATTTTTTTATGATAATGTTATGCATTTTGTAATAAGGTAATACATTGTGACCTAGTGGTTTGTAGCACCTTTTTTGTGGTGTAAGATCTCTGGTTTAGCTTCTATCAAGAAGAGTTTGATACTCTTTATAGTGGTCAGTTTATTTTTCCCCCTATTATGGAGATTATATAATAGTAATTGTTGAGTTTGACATAGTGGATTGATATTGACTTTCTAATTATTATGGGCTAGTGACTTGTTTTATTTTATTTTTTTATCAAGGCTAGTGATTTGTTAGATAATGTAAATATTTCTCATAATGTAATTACTTTTCAATCTATTGACAAAAAGATAAATAAATAAATAATTAGATATAAGTGTTTTGGTCACCGTTTTTATCTCGTGGTTAATAAAATTATTGGTTAATTACACTCTTAACTCTTATAATTTGATCCAAATTTGATTTTAGTTCTTATTGTTTTAAATTGAACAGTTTATTCCCTACATTTTAAATTTAATTTTAATTTGATTATTTCGTTTAAGTTGGAAGTTAAAATTAACTATTTTGGGATTACTTGCTAGTCTTTTAAGGTGTACACAGAGAAAAAATCAATAGAAATTTGGACAGGTGAATCAAATTGAAATTTAACTTAAAATGTAGAGATCAAATTATTCAAATTAAAACTAAAATTAAAATGAAACTATAAGAATGAAAATGATAATCAACCCTACACTTATTGTAATTGTGCATGTGATTTTTATTTTTATTTTTTTTGGTCAAATAAAGGGGGGGAAAAATGAAGATAGCTAATAAATTGAAGTTTGTCCTCTCAAATTAAGCCAGCTGGGGACCACCCTAACAAGGTTATTATCATGTTTAGGATTTTATTTTTTTTTTCTCTGTTTTTGTTGTAAAACATATCTAGAATCTTGAACAATCATATAAGTGAATTAGAGTACTTTGAACTCCAATTATCTCCCCTCCAAAAACAATTTAGAAAAAATACTAATAGAACTAAATAAAACTTCATGTATTTGTTCATGAGTCCCGCTAGGTAGCTCGAAAAACTAGAGACTCAAATGGCCCGAAATTCTAAAACGACATCGTTTTGACTTCTTTTCTTTTTTTTCATAACTCGCAAAAGAAGAAGAAGAAGAAAAAGAAGAAAAAGAAAGAAGAGAAGAGGAGATCTAGAAAATATATATAGATATATACAGATCTGGAATATTCATGAAACTCACAAATCAAACCCCCTTTCCCCCCACACAGATCTGAAAATCAAAAGTCACCTACAAATCAAACACCCCCTCCCCCCCACACACATATACAGATCTGGAAGCCAAATCCATGAAATACACACACACAGTGGTGGTCACAGCAGTGGAGACGACGAAGTGGTATAGCGGCGACAGTGGTGGTCACAGCAGTGACAAAAGAGGAAGAGGTGACAGAGGTAACGGCGGCGATGTTGACAGGGACGACGTGAGAAGATCGACTCTCCCTCCCTCTTCTCTCTTTCTTCTCTCTTTCTCGCTTCCTCTGTTTCGTTTCACAGATAACAGAGGGAAACAAAAATTCAAAACGACGTCATTTTGAATTCGGGCCACTCAAGCCTAAAGACTTTCGATCTCTCAAGCATTTCTCATTTGTTCATATCATCACAATAGCCCTCAAACGCGTTTACACAATTTAATTAAAGAGTCCTTTACACACAGTTGGCTTTAAATTGAGAGCATCTAGAATTTCTAATAATTTCTATTTTGTTTTTCACAATAACCAAACAAAAAATAAGTTGTCTTTTAGGTTGTTTTTGATTCATAAATTTAGAGATAGATTTGAAAAAGAATAAAAAAAAAAGAAAAAAGAAAATGTGTATGAAATTAACTGAAATATAGATATATTTTTATCACATTTTACCTTCTTTTTTTTTTCCCCCCCTTTCAAATCTCTCTCCAAATCTTTAAACCAAAAACAACCTTAATTTTATTTTTACTTTTCATCTCAACAACAACCCATTAACCAAAGAGAAAATAAAACCAAACAGAAAAATCACTAAATTATTATAAAAATATAAGTGCAAACAATTTTCCTAACATGCCACGTTCAAACAAACCCAACTGCCACGTCACGTGCCCAGAGTCTCTTCTAGACGTAGTGGCAAGGTTGAAATTAGTTTGGGTACAACCAGGCCAAAAATGTAAATATTCATTTTTCGCGCGAAACACCTCTCTCGCTCACCCCCCTGGCTAGCTGAATTGCATGCCAAAAGCGGGCTTAACAATTAAAAGTTCGTTGGGGTAGTTGCACTTACACCCTCCCACACCTCTCTCTCTCTCTCTCTCTCTCTCTCTCTCTCTCCACACAGCCTTTAAATTCTCTCACCCATTTGGCCTTTCAAGCCATCACTCTGTCTCTCTGTCTCTCTGTCTCTCTCCATTTTGTCTCTCCCATATTGTGACCTCTTTGATTCTCAATATCTCCAATTTTTCCTATTCAATTTCATCTCCAAATCTCAAAACCCAGTTGGCTCAAGCCTCAAATACTTTCAATTCAATCTTTACAATTCTGGGTTTTTGTTCAATTTTGTGATTCATCAAATCAAATCAAACTATGGTTAATGAAAACAAAGCTCTTCCCAATTTTCTCTTATCAGTGAAGCTCAAATATGTCAAGCTTGGTTACCACTACTTGATTTCCCATGCCATGTACCTATTGCTCATGCCACTTCTAGCTATAGTCTCAGTCCATCTCTCGACTCTCGAACCCCGAGACCTAGCCCACCTATGGAACCACCTCAAATTCAACCTAGTTACAGTTTTTCTCTGCTCAGCCCTCTTGGTTTTCCTAGCCACTCTCCATTTCATGACCCGGCCTCGAAAAATCTACTTAGTGAATTTCGCATGTTACAAGCCTGAACTGGCCCGTATGTGTAGCAGAGAACTTTTTATAGATAGGTCTGTACAGGCAGGGACCTTCACTGAAGAGAACATAGCTTTTCAGAAGAAGATTGTGGAGCGGTCTGGGCTCGGGCAGAAAACGTATTTGCCCGAGGCAGTGATTCAGGTCCCGCCTAATCCGTGTATGGCAGAGGCGAGGAAGGAGGCGGAGATGGTGATGTTTGGGGCAATCGATGAGGTTTTGGCGAAAACCGGTGTGAAGGCAAAGGATATTGGGATAGTTATTGTGAATTGCAGCTTGTTTAATCCTACACCGTCGCTTTCGGCTATGGTTGTGAATCATTATAAGCTTAGGGGGAATGTTTTGAGCTACAGTCTTGGTGGTATGGGCTGCAGTGCTGGATTGATCTCAATTGACCTTGCAAAACAACTATTACAGGTTTGTTTGTTACTGCTCTCTTTATTTTTATTTTTCAAGTGTGTGATTGTGCATGGGTAATACTCAAACCGAGAAAGGAGAAATTGTATCATGCACTTGTAAGATTCGAATTCAGGCATCACATCATGCATCATTGACCATCAACCCAACTATTTGATTTGGTTGTTCAATTATATTCATTTCAATATATTAATATACAGTTCTGCTATGAACACAGAAACTAAATATATAATAAACACAACACACATAAAGAGATAAGATTTTACAGAATTTGTTGGTAGGACCAAATATCCTATCCATTTATATATATATCTTGTATCAAATTCTGTGATGAGTTTCTATTTTCAAACCTACTCATTAGCATGTGGTATTTGCGTTGGCTTGATGGCTACATGAATTTCATATGTTGACACATTAAGGGCACTTTTTCTGCATATATCCAGCTAAGATGAGGGGACCATAATTAATAGGTGTTTGGTGAAACCAGCGAGGCTCATCATAAAAAATTGATTACACGCAAAAAGGTGGGGTGGTGATTAATTCATATATATGTTGTTAACACCCAGTGAGCGGTTGGAGAGGAGAATTTAACACCTAGCAAACCCTCTCCGCACAAGCAAGTTAGGCCGATCAAAATGGCCATTAATTCATATATATGTTGTTACTTTTAGGGCCATCATGTTTTTCAAGGCTAATAAGCCATTGATCTTATGTGTAACAGGTGCAACCCAATTCCTATGCCCTAGTGGTGAGCATGGAGAATATCACTCTCAATTGGTACTTTGGTAACAACCGGTCTATGCTTGTCTCAAATTGTCTCTTCCGAATGGGTGGTGCTGCAATCCTCCTCTCCAACCGCTCATCTGATCGCAGGCGTTCAAAGTACCAACTCATCCACACCATGCGTACCCACAAGGGAGCCGATGACAAATGTTACAGTTGTGTGTTCCAAGAAGAGGATGAAACTAAGAGAATCGGCGTTGCATTGTCAAAAGACCTAATGGCTGTAGCGGGAGAGGCCTTGAAAACAAACATCACTACACTCGGGCCATTGGTTCTTCCCATGTCCGAGCAACTCCTATTTTTCACTACTTTAGTAGCCAGAAAGGTCCTTAAGATGAAGATTAAGCCTTACATTCCCGATTTTAAATTGGCTTTTGAGCATTTCTGCATTCATGCCGGAGGGAGAGCAGTGCTAGACGAGCTAGAAAAAAACCTCGATCTCACTGAAAGGCATATGGAGCCTTCTAGAATGACTCTATATAGGTTTGGGAATACATCGAGTAGTTCATTGTGGTATGAATTGGCTTATACCGAGGCTAAGGGGAGGATGAGGAAGGGTGACCGGACATGGCAAATTGCGTTTGGATCGGGGTTTAAGTGTAATAGTGCTGTTTGGCGTGCTCTGAGGACTATTGATCCGGCGAAGGAGGTGAACCCTTGGATGGATGAGATTGATGAATTTCCTATTCATGTGCCTAAAGTGACAAAAATTGATTCATGAAACATTTTCATGTTCATATTAAAGAGTTGAGTTGTCTTTCTTCATAAAACATGAGTGTGCCCTATTGTTTTAGAAAGAAAATTAGTCATAAATGCCAATCCCCTTTGGTATCTCTTTTATTTATTTATTTATTTATTTTTCTTTTCTAAATGGTGATCGTAATGAGATTATTAATATAACAAGAAGTGTTGCTTGATTGAATGTTTCTTATCCAATGGCTCTCACTTCATCTACTTCATCAATTATTAATCAATTAATGTCACATTTTATTGTTCGAAAGATCGATTAGAATTTGAAATGTGTGAATCAATTCTACGACAACATACTCTATCAACACTGACCCGATGATAGCCCTTTTCCTTTTGATGATGTCCTATTCAAAACAATAATATTGTGCCCATACACAATACCAAAGTGTTCTGTTCCAGCCTATAAGTTAGCATTACTGATGTTTGAAAAACGCCAATAAATGCATGAAAAATGCCGCTATCGGAGAAGTGTTTTCAATCTGGGGGCTCCAACAAGAGTAAGACATTAAAAGCATGGTTTGAACATGAACATGAACATATACCCTTCATAGTTCACAGGATGGAACCAGCTGGTTTTTTGCTGATCAGGAAGAAAACTAAAAATAATATTTCAAAAATGAAAAATGGGTTCAAAATGTTGACAGCTTTGCCTAAATCAATGCTCTGGGGGGCCTTTCACAATGCTAATTTTTTTTGCCAAAGTCCGCTGGAAATTGCTGAAATGTTATCAGGGATTGAGAGAAAGTATTTCTGTAACGAGTACATCACTTAGTCAAATTGATGTAATGTATTATTTGAGTCATTATTTGTCATGTGATAAAAAGTAGGACCACAATTTAATATGATGGAACTCTTAATTAGAACCTCAAACCAAGCACAAAGTGACTTTTTCAGTCTTAGAGTTACAACATAATAATAAATAATGAGTGAAAGAGAATATCACATCAGCTTAGTCACTTGACCTACCGCTTATATAAAATACTTTACCTGGAATTTAAGCTTGTTTCAGAGCTTTAATGGAACAAGGTATCCAATTAATTGATGTGCGTCATGTCAAATTTTTATCATGTTGACTTCCAAAAGCAAAAATTAAAAAGAAGAAGAAGTCAATTGTTTCAACTCTTGGATTTTCTGATTGCTTGTCTTGAAGTTATGTAAGTACTAATTTGAAGAGAGGAAAAAAAAAATGATATAGTATCTGTAGGTAAACAGTTCAACTACTAAGAATTGAGGGTTTATTTATCTTTTTTTATTTTTTATTTTTGTAATGACATGAAAGAGGAAGCCTATTTCGACTCACATTACATAGTAAATTTTGAATAACTGCAGTCTCTTACAAATTGTAGAGATTAATTAAGCCTCTGTTTGGGAAGTGGGTTGGTTTTTTGACTTTTTGGCTTTTTTTGACTATTTTAGCCTGGGCTAAAAAGTTTGGTTTGGGAAGGACTTTTTGACTTTTTGGCTTTTTTGACTTTTTTTGTGAGAAAAAAAATGTAATGATTATGGGTTGGATGTGATATTTTGTTTTTTGTGACTAAAATAGCCTATTTTGTCTTTTGTGGCTAAAATAGCTAAAAAAATCTCGTTTAACTCTTGCCAAACGGAGCCTAAGTCTGAAAAAACCAACGAGAGTTGAATTCAAAATGTTCAAATTTATAAGTTACCTTTAAGTTCGCTCCCTTAATCACTGGACAACTCGAATGAGTTGAGAATTGAGATTGTTGGTTATTGCAAGAAAACCAAACTTTCTTTTGTTTGTCTATCTATCTAAGGTTAGGTGACTGGTTTGCTCTTTGTCTGTCAAAATGGGTGACTGGTTAGCCAATGAATTATGAACTTTGATTCAAGTAGACCTCTATGATAATTTAAGCTACAATTTATCAAATAATAAACTTTTCAGTGTTTTGTTTTTGTTTCCTGTTCTTATTTTCCCTGTGCTATCACACAATTTGTGGAAATCGATTAATGTTTCTGTGGAAATTGGAGATTGTTTGGGTTGTCTTAAATAAGTGCACTTTTTGTCTTTTTGAACTAAAAAATTGAGGAAGAAAATATAGATATTTGTGTTAACTTTTTGACTTTTTATGAAAAAATGTATAATAAAAAATTGTAAAAATTGGTTTGTAGGAGAAAATTAGGATTGGGAGTTATCCAGCCGTAATTGTTGACTTTTGATGAATAGTGTTAACTTTTTAACTTTTTGAGTAACTTTTTAATTTTTTGACTTTTCCTGAACATGCCAAACTTGGCCTAAAACAAGGACCAAAAATAAGAAATTCTTAATTAAGTATTTTGCCAAAAAAAGCCCTGAAATTATATACAATTATGAGTTTAACCAGTATAACCTAGGCAGGCACACATTATCAATCTCCCGGACAAGAGAGGTAATGAGGTCTTATATTTTTACATTTTTACAGTTACTAGTTTTATTGTGAGTATTTTACGAAAGCGGAGGGCCGAGATGAGTTTTGGAGTCATATGTATATGGTGTACTCTTTTAACTCATTATTTGTCATGTAATAAAAAGTGAGTATGGAGTTTAATGTGATCAGGGCGTGTTTGGGAAAAGAATTGAGTTAAAATATTTTATTAAAAGACAAAATAAGTTAAAATAGCAAATAAGACAAAGGCCTTATTTGGGAAGCGAGTTGGGCTAATATAGCCCACTAAGAGACCAAATAGACTAAAATAGCTAATAAGACAAAATATCACATTTAACTCATAAACATTTTATTTTTTTTCTCACAACCAACAAATCAACTATAAAAAAAAAAAAAAAAAAAAAAAAAAAAAAAACTAACTTTCCAAATACAACTTTTTTAGCCAATCTAAAATAGTCAGAAAGCCAAATAACTAACTTTTCAAACAAGGTCAAAATGTTAAATCAAATCCATAATCATTTTAGTTTTTCTCTCACAATTATCAAATCACCACAAAAAAAAAAAAAAAACTCTTAAATATAACTTTTTTAGCCAGACTAAAATAGTCAAAAAATCAAATGGCTGACTTCCTAAATAAGGCTTGAGCACAAAGTGACTTCTCAATTCCTATATTTATCCCGGAATAAAAAAATTTATTCATACATAAAATTTGACATTGTCGTTATTGTAAATAAATTATATTTTAATGGTATTTTGTTTAAAATGAAAGGTTTACAATAAGTCATATCATTATATATAAAAATTATGTATAAATTTTTTATTTACATATCATTACTTTAATAAATAATAAATGTGAATAAGTACATTTTACCAAACTTAACTTTTCTCAGGGATTGAGGCTTGTAGCACAGCTTTCATAGAATAATGAGGTTGTTCAAATACTTGTGAGTCACGATGAATTTTTATATTTTACCATGTTGACTTTCAAAAGCAAAAAATAAAAATAGAAGAATAAGTCAATTGTTTCAACTCTTAGATTTTCAGATTGCTCCTTGAAAGAAAATATAATATTAATTAAGAAAAAAAAATGATATATATTTCCTATGATTAAATAGTTCAACTTCTAAAGCATTGATCGTTTTTTTTTTTTTTTGTGTAATGACAAAAAAAAACCCTCTCTAAGAGAACTTTTTTTGGACCCACTTTGAAAATCTCGAATAATTGCAATTACTTATATGTTACATATGTCAATTAAGTCCGAAAGACACTAGCAGATATCACCCCTATTCTCCTTACCACTATTCTGTTTGGTACAATTTATAGGAGTTGTTTATAATTATTTTATTTTGAGAATTGGACAATTATACAGATAGTCTCTACATTTTGTCCTTTTGTGTTATTTTGGTCTCTCGACTATCATTTAGCTCAATTTTAATCCTTAATTTTAAATTTTGCATTATTTTGGTAAAATTGATAATGTTGTTACTGTTTTTGATGAAAAATAATCATCGAATTTGTTGAGTTTATCTCATTAAATTTAGTAAATTTATAACTTTACTCTAAAAATATGTCACATACCACTTATATGCATTTTTTTCATAAAAAATATTAAGAATTGTAATCAATTGGATCAAATTAAAACAAAATCATAAATTCATGATCAAAATAGAACTAATTGAAATCATAGGGACCAAATGACATAAAGACCAAAGTAAAAGAACTACTATCACAATTTGTCCTTGAGAATGTCTCAAACTATTTGATACAATTTATGCATGTAACTTATTCAACAAAAATAACTTGAATAAGTTGAAGAAAAAAAAATTATCATTTGAGAGGTAAAAAAGTTTTTTTTTTTTTTTTAATTTTTAATTTTTAATTTTCAATTTTAAATAAAACTTGTAATAAGTTACACTAAACAGACACAACCGGTAGGGTGGAAGAGATGAGATTGTTGATCATTGCAAGAAAACCAAACTGTGTTTTGTTTGTCTATCTATCTAAGGTTAGGTGACTGGTTTGCTCTTTCTTTGTCAAAGTCGGTGATTTGTTGGCCAATGAACTCTAATTCAAGTAGCCGCTATGATAATTTAAACTACAATTTATCAAGGACCCATTGTTCCCTTACTTTGAAATTTGTATCACTTTAATTTTTTATTTTTTAATTATAATATATTTAATTTTAAATTTTAAATAAGAATAATTAAAGATATTGTTATTCCATTTGAAGGATAAAGTCATCAATTTAATAAAATATAAACTAATTTGATAAAAATAAATGTAAAAAAATTATTTTTGAATTTTTAAAAAATATTTTTACCCACTAAAGATAAAACTGTATAAAAATAATAAATCTTTTACATTTTTATTTTTTTACTAATTAATTTTTAGTATTTGTTTGGATGATGATCATATAATAAGTGATTGTTTTTGTTGATGTCTTTTATGCTTATCATTATTATGCAATGAATGATTATTAGATTTTAATGTGTAATCGATATATGCTTAATATATGAAATGTTTTTAGTTTTAGATTTTTTGATTTAATGGATTGGTTTAATAATTATATCAAAATTGTCGTCATATTTACCTTTTGAAAAAATAAAAACTAATTTAATGAAAATAAATATAAAATATTTATTTGAAAAAAAATTATTTCTACCCCCTCAAAAGATAAAATTATATAAAAATGATATATTTTTTAATTTCTTTTCACCAATTTAATTTTTAGTTTTTTAGAAAAAAATTAAAAATAAATTTTGAAAATCAAATCAAACAGAACTTTATA